CCCCAAAACCCCAAAACCCCAAAACCCCAAAACCCCTGGATAATTAGATAGGATAGAATAATATATAAAATAATTATTTCGGCAAAGATGATATCTCCGCCCAAAAATACATTGGTCTACCAGAAAAAGGGAGGCCACAATCTCACTGTCAAGCCCACTGATAAGAAGAATAAACACTACATCAAAGCCATTAATATAGAAGAAAACCTCAAGATCACTCTTGAGTATATCAGAGATCTTGGCAACGTCCTTGGTATTGTCAAGCACATGGATCAGCCAGGAAATGCAGTCTACAAAGATGTGTGTCCAACAGATAAAGTCCCGATCCAAAACACTTATCACAACATCAAGCAACAAATGGCCAGTGCTATCAATGGTCACTCTGGCGATGTTGACTCCAGAAGTAAAAAGCCAATGGAACACACAATCTACTTTGTTGTTGAGCTGTCAAACGATCTGGGAAAGCCAATCATAACTTCTGTCAAGAATTTCAGCGACTTGGGCAAAGAAGTCGTTGAGTTTCCGTTCAAAGTCAGAGATCTTTCAATTCATGCAACTGTTAGCTTTTCGATCTACGACATGAACAAAATCGAAGATGAAGGACTCGTAGCTTCAACCACTATAAACTTGTTTGATAGCAAAAGAAGACTCAGGCAAGGATTCCACAATTTGTATTTATGGAAAGATAAACCCAGAGACCTCACTTTCAAATGCACCACTCCAGGGCTCCCTCCAGACAATGAGTATGCAAGCAAAATAAATGCTTTGCTTGGAAGGATAGATGACAGATCAGCTTATGACCTCATGACTCACAGGGCCATCAAAAGACAGCTCCATCAGTATTATGTAGACTCCCAAAGCGCTTTTCTAGAAATTTCGTTGCCTATATATGACTACCCAATTCTGTATCATGAGAATGTGTACAAAAACATCAAGAGGAACACCCTCAACACAGAATACTTGCTGAAGAAGTACGAAGAGTTTTACTGCTATCCATTTTCATCTTCTGTAAAGTTCGCAGATCCTGAGCGTAAGTCTTCAACTCAGAGTAACAGTGGGATCTCTGGAGCAAGAATCATTAAGTTCCACGACCCAGTGATTATGCGTAAAGGAACTCTCAAAATGCGTAAAGAACAGGACAACCCGATTCTAGAGAAGTATTACATTTTGACCAGAACCAACGATGACAACATCGCTAGGGGTCTGAATATTGATAGAGAAACCCACAAACAGATACTAGATATTATTGAGCAACCTGATTTTGCAGCTCTAACTCAGAAAGAAGAAACTCTGCTCTGGAAATATAGATACCCCATCAAGTATGATGAACAGTACCGCAAAGCTGTAGTCAAGTTCTTGCGCAGTGTCGACTGGGACAACCTCAAAGAGTCCAACGAAGCCATTCGTAAGTTTGTGTCTGACTTTAGAAATTTTACAAGACTGGAACTTCGACATTGAGCAGGCCATTCCGATGCTCAGTGTGATGTTCTCAGCCAATGACTTGTACGAAGAAGGCATCGCCAAACACAAGTGTGTCGAAATCAGAAAGCGAGCCATCGAAGTGCTCGAACAAGAAGACACCGAGTTCATACAGAAGATACTGCTCCAGCTTGTTCAGGCTTACCGCTACGAAGACTTCGAAGCAGGCCACCTCAAGAACTTCTTGATGGCTAAAGTGGTTCTGGACGAGTCGATAGCACACGACTTCTTCTGGATTGTGAAGCTAGAAAAAGACAACCAAGAAAACTCAGAGCAGATCCGCCACCAGTTCTCTGGCTTGTATGATGCATTCATCGACAAACTCACCGACATCGACCCAGAGTGAAGAGAGCTGCTGGCCAAACAGTGGGAGTTCAGAGACAAACTCTACTCGCTGTCAAAGCATGTTGGTGAGGCTGACAAAGTTCAGCGCAAATAAAGAGCGACTTCGAGAAGCTGTCTCTGAAGGAGGCAAGTTCGACATGACGAACTTCGAGCCTGCACCGATGCCGCTCGACCCATCTGTGAAAGTGTGTGGGATCGTCCCTGAGAAATGCAGTGTGTTCACCAGTGCTTTGTGACCGCTCAAACTGACATTCAAAGTGACAGAAGAAACTCAGAACTCTGGGAACCCTCGTGTTGATGGAGACCTCTACAACATCATGTACAAGCTCGGAGACGATGTCAGACAGGACCAGTTGGTGCTCCAGATCATGGGTGTGATGGACTTCGTCCTCAAGCAGATCAACCTCGACTTCAAGTTCTCGATCTACAATGTGTTGGCTCATTCAGAGAGTGACGGAATGCTTGAGTTTGTACCGAACTGTTGCACCATACAGGATATCCTCAAGCACAACAAGCCGAAGAGTTCGAGCGAAACCCACATTGGACTCTACCTGAAGAGTTCTTGCTACAAGAACGGCTATGACTACAAAGGCGTGTTCGAGACTTACCTGGACTCGTGTGCTGGATATGCCGTTGTGACATATTTGCTGGCAGTCGGAGACAGACACCTTGAGAACCTGCTAATTGACGAGAAAGGCCACTTCTTCCACTGCGACTTCGGGTTCATTTTCGGCAAGAACCCGGCTGGCAAGAACCTGTGGCCTCCTCCAATCAGGATTTGCAAAGAAATGATAACATGTATGGGCGGCTTTGAAAGCGCATATTACAAACGTTTCGTAGACAAGTGTGTGGACGCATTCAAGTACTTGCGGAACCACTCGAAGTACATCTTGAACTTGCTACATCTGATGATTCATGCTGGGATTGGAGACTTGCCTGCAGATCAGTCTGAGAAAATTCTGACTAAAATGTACGAGAAGTTTCTCCCCCACATCAGAGACCAGGAAGAAGTAGAGAAGGAGTTCGCTGGATTCATCAAGGAAAGTGTCAATGCATTCTTTGTGAAAGTAATGGAAAAGTTCCATGTTTGGGCCGGAGCTTTCAAGTAAAGATTCAATCAAGATATCTATCTTAAATTTATTTACCTTTCCTTAAATAAAATATTTTGTCATTTATCAATGTTTGAGACGTTTGTTGGGGTTTTGGGGTTTTGGGGTTTTGGGGTTTTGGGG